ACAGCCCTGAACAATGCTTATCAGAGAACAGAAATAAAAACAAATGTTTGTTATTTCACAATAAACAAATTGAAATTGTAGCCCACATAGTTTGTGCAATTACAATTATTTAAATTGAACGTTGAAAGATAATATTGATCATGTTCTATTCTGTAATGTTAATAGAAATCATACACTGTCAGAACAAAAAGGTTGCATTTTATGCGTGCAACAGCCATTCACTGGCAGTCCCTAATGGCAGTACAAAATATTGCACAAATATTGTACTAAATCAAAAGTTCAAATGTTACAAATAAGTTAGAATATTAATGTTGTAATACTGGTAGCACTAATATAAAAATGTGATGAGATATGTTACAAAAAAGTAAAAATTTTGAAATACGTCGATGGTTGTATTTGATCTCAGTATTCCTATCAATGTTGTATAAGGGTTTTTTATGCATAATAGTAACCCTAGAATGTGATCAAACAGTTTAAAATAGCTGGGCTAAGATATGTAAACATTTTTATGACTGCAGAAATATGTTAATTCAGTATACACATTATCCCACCGGTTACAATTGTGACTGACCATAAAATAAAATTTTTCACAGTTTTCCCCCAAAAAAAAAATTTTTTTTAATTATTTCAAAGGGTTACTAATGACGCATCATTTGGATATTTTCATGTCTGGGAAAAATTGGGGATTAAACGGGTTAAAATGTGTTTTAAACATAAAGTAATCGGTATCGACGGTACTGCCTTGAAAAATAACCGGTATCGTATCGAAAACAAAATAAGGGGTATCGCCCATCCCTAGTCAGCAGCTCTATTCTGGAAAAGGGGGTGGGGAGCAGCAGCTCATTTGCATTTAAAGAGACAGGCACGAAAAACAGCTCACTCAAAATAGGCATTTTCAAAATCATATAATACATGATCTGTGGAATATTTTGAGCTGAAACTTCTCAGACACATTCTGGGGGCACCAGAGACTTATATTACATATTGTAAAAAGGGGCATAATACGTCTCCTTTCAACTTTAGAAATGACCAGGCTCGTTTGTGAATCTTTGTTGGAATAATTTCTAACAATCGAATCATTATTAGAACAATTTCTAATCATTTCTTAATAATTCATAATTGCTGCTTGATAGAAATAAAAGTCCATAAAAGTTTGCATGTGGTCAATCAACCCATTCAATATCTGAGAATTTTAATTCCAAAACAGTCCTTTCTTTTGATTAGATGCATTCAGACTTGATTTGAGTCATCAAATTCAAGTCAGTAACATCATCACACATTACTCCAGGATGCTGTGACACAGAATGGAGGAAGTCTCGCTTTCTATGCGTACTGTAGATAGCGTTGCATGAAAGAACAACACAGATGTTTCCATTAGTATGGTAAGAGTTTTGGATACATTTAGACTCGAGGGATTGCCACTGACGTTTCAATTCGTCTTTCCCCAAAGCACGGCCTGAATCCTCGAACAAACAATTAGCAGATCCCACATGCGTTCTCGTTTTGCTCTCCCGAGGGACTTTGTCATGTTTTTGTCATGAAATGGGCTGACGGTGACCCACATAACAGCAGCGACTGGTTGCAAAGGTCGGCGTTTGGGAGGTTCGCGCGACGCGTTATTGATCAGGAGCCGGTTGGTTTATCTGGGCATGCAAGCAGTGCGGGTGCTGATGGAGGCGCGCGCTGCCATCGCACTGCTGTCCTCTGCGTGATCGATAATGTAGCATCATATCAGGCAGGAGAACGGACTCGATCGAACCGCATTCTCAGTGGCTGAAGAAGGAGCTAAACCGAGTGCGCGTGCGGACTGAACGGAAAGAATTACTTGCACCAAAGACACTGCAGAAACACACCAGAAACCATGTCGGTAGACGAAACATGCGCGCGCTCTTCGCTGTTGGTTTCTTCGGGGACGCGAGCGTCGACAGGCCGCTGACCGTCACGTATGTTCATTCATTTGCTCGCTCGGAACATGTCGCATGATATGATTGTTAGTTTGGCAGCAGTTAATCACGGCCTGCACCAATGCAAGCCGCCCATTATTATTCGTTGTCATGCAAATACACGAGCTTTGTCTTCCATCAACCAATAACGTGACATTTCGAGAGAGGAACGCCGATTTGTCACGTCGTGATGTTTTGTATGAAAGAACGGTCGACCATTTTGCATGTCGATTGAGTCAACGTGCAGCTACTTTTCTTCTTAAACATGCGTGCGTGTGTGCGTGCGTGCGTG